GGAANATGAATAAACAAATTTACATAGTCACATTTATAATAGATGCAGTNTTAAAAAATGGTGTCAATTGGATGGTTGACAAATATACCGGCATAGTATCATCATATTGTTTTAGTGAAACTGAATACCAAAATATTCGATGAAAAAATTTTATTTGAAATAGAAATAGTATTAAATTTAATTTCATTCAAATAATCAGTTTAAAAAAAATTGGATTTTTTTTTCTTTTGGCTTTCCAATTACTGTAATGCAACGATAGTTTAAAAAAAAAAAGAAGGAAAATAAATTTGAAAAAATTTTGGGAAAAATATAAAGAAAATAAAAAAGATTTATTTGTTTCATTTCACATAAAATGAACATTTAGAAGCAAAAAAAAAAAAAATGAAAAAATTACGAAAGATATTATCCGACTATCATTGAAATTTACGAAGAACAAAAGTTTTTCGTTCCTTATATTTCTTTACAAATCTTTCACCTCTATCCATTAATCATTGATTGTATGATTCCAATTTAGTAATTAATTTAATGTTGAGCAATGAAAAAAGAAAAAAAGATAAATTAAATAGTCTCTCATTTCTTTCTTGAATCATTTTTAAAAATTCAATAAACCATACGATTAATCAATCAAAAATAAAATAAAAAAAAAACAGCAAGAAAAATACAAAATTAAACAAGTAAAATTTAAATTCAAATTATATAAGAAATTGAAATAATCAAAATGAAACGAAGCATAAGAAACTAATTTTAATGCACCTTCTTCCATAACAATTGTTCAAATCAATTTATATCAAAATTTGCTTCAATCTTTTGTTTTTATCAGTACACAAGTGATAAGTGTTAAAATGAGCCAAAAGGAATTTTGCGATCATTCATACGTTAATGTTACTATTATTGGAATGAATTTTATATTTGAAATTTAGTTGATAATTTATAATTAAAATTTTTCATTGCAATTTTTTCTTTCATTTTAACATTTCAGTACGTACATTGACAAACTGTTAGAACTTTCTGTCATATTTTGAAAAAAAATAAAATGAAATAAAAATGAAAAAGGACACATCTACTTGAGATTTAGCAATTTCATACTGTTATTTTCTATCACTTCTTCAAACATGCGTGATATCTGATTAGTGATTAACTGATAAGAGAATAGCCTGATAAGGAGTTTTTGATGTTAGAAGATTTACATTCCAGCTTTTTGAGGTCGATAATTTCATACTGACACTTTCTATCACTTCCCTTACATTTGCATAATACATTAAGAAATTTTCAAAGTGAAAAAATATTCAATTCACTCCGTAACTTCGTAAGAAAAAAAATTCGTCTTGATCAAATTTTTTATTAACCTTTACTTTTTCATTTTCTCCTTTCTGATCATTTATTTATTAAATTCTAATAATTTAATATCTTATCAACCGTGCAATATTGCTATGACTTAATATTTTAGCTTTATCATAATATTCACTTACTGTTTAAATCTTACCTTTTTTTCTGAATTTCATTAGGTAATAACAATCTTTTCTCTTTTTATGATGAATATCTATAAGGTGTAATGATTAATTGAGTGGCAAATTTTCACATGTACTAATACCGCTTTACCGTAACTTGTTTGCCATAAATTATTTTATCACAGTCTATTTTATGGTAATTTTTGATATATCGCTTACGTAGTTATCATCACCTAATATGAATTAGTCTCATAATATTAAAGTAAAACTGTAATAAGAAATAATTCATATGTACACACTTCACATCCATATGCTCTCGCGGTAATAGTATTATCATTATATTAGCAGTTGGCTTTTTTGATAAAACAGTCCTTTCCATACTTAATACTATAATAGGATACAATTCCGCCTAAGCATGTGTCATATGCGTTTCTCAATAATTAAAGCAATACATAAAGTATTTTCACCTCTTGTTCCCGAAATTCATCATAAAGGATTGGAAGTTCAAGCAGGGTAGACAGAATATGGAATGAAACTGCAAGGAATGAACGAAAATTAACGTCTAATATTCACGAATAATAAATCATAGTTATTATTAAAATTAAAATTAGATACAAATAAAACTATTTCCTTCTTCTTCCAGCCGGGTAAAGGTTAATAAACAGCACTGAAGATATGTATAATATTATTGGAAACGGAAACTTGATGAAAACAATTCTTCATGATATAAAAATATTTCAGGAAATGAAGAATGCTAACAGTACAATATAAATGAATAATCTGTACATGTACATGAGATGTTTGACAGATAACATACATAGAAAATACATAATTGAGGTAGGGACAATACAATAAAACTAAACTTAGTTCAGAGAAAGAAAACCTTCTGCCAATTCATAAGACTTCCTTAAATACAATATCATTGATGGTCACTCACTGTAATATTTTCCTAATCAAATATTTAGTTCCATATATATCTTAGCAAGTCAATATCGCTAATTTTATCAAATAAAAAAACTATTTTAAACTATCAAACTCATATCAAATGCAAGTGACAATAACACCAAACAAGAGGAATGATAAACAACGATTTCATAGTATTTTCAAACAAATAGCAATAGCTTTTGATAACAGGTGACGATTTTCTCGATTTGGACTACTAATAACTGTCCGAAAACCACCATTTTTAATGCATACAGTAGCATTGAGAGTATCCTGAAAATATATACATTAAATTCGTAAATAAGCGAAACATCAAATTAGTTATACAAAAGATTGAATAGTAATCTCGTGAACTTCTGTTATCCTGATATTCAAAAAATTTCCTCTCCTCGCATTCAATGTAGTATCAAAAAAAAAAGGAAAAAAAGAGAAATAAAGTTATAAACACTTACAAAAGTGAAACGGATATTCCCATCAATTTCATCTTGTGAAAATTTTAAATTCATCTGAAAATAATCAAAAACGAATGTTTAGAAAATGCTTATTACAGTATGCATAATTTTTTACATGGAACCGCTAGACGGATATTAGGGCTCTGCTGTCATTTAATAAAATACGTATTACATCAAATCATTTATTAAAATACGTATTATTGTCATTTATTAAAATAAGCATCACAACAATGTCTTATGAGAAACATAGTGCAGAAATATTCCTTTTAATCCAAACTTAAATTGAGCTATTGATAGTGCAATGGATGGTATCAAAAGCAACTTAG